TTAGAATTTTTCTCAATCCTACGTATCTTTATTTTTACGTCAACACTTCATTTCAACCGTTCCAAGGCGAAAGGGTTAAAAGTGCTCGACTATTTTCCACTGCTCTAAAACCATCGACTCGACGTAGGAATTGTTGCCACCGGATGATACATTACAAATTATAAACGATAATAATATTATACTGAAACCTAATATTTCATAACTAACATCACGCTGAAACATTGAAATAAAGGCAAGCTGCGCAGTACTGGCCGACAGTGGCCAAGTGAGCGTAGAATAATCGAACTATTCGGAACGCAAAGGGTTAAATGCCCAATCCATAGATCTGACCCTTAGATATAACACACGTTAAATCGCATCCGCTAACTGTCAAACATGTCTGTTTCCTTTTCCAGGAGAGAAGCCGTACAAGTGCAGCTGGGAGGGTTGCGAGTGGCGATTCGCGCGTTCCGACGAGCTGACCCGCCACTACCGCAAGCACACCGGCGCGAAGCCGTTCAAGTGCCGGCACTGCGACCGATGCTTCTCTCGCAGCGATCACCTAGCCCTCCACATGAAGAGACACGTGTAATCGATCGTGACCGCGAACGGTCCTCAACGCGCGGCACAGTCCAGGACCGGCATACGAAGCTCCTTCCTCCCCGAGGATGATTCCCGAGGCCGGGCGTGCGACGCGGCCTCCCCGTGTGATCGCGTTTCTTCCATAGACACCTGACCGATCCGCCATCGCGAACAACAACGATCATCATAAACGACTGTGTAGAGCCCCAGGCCACGCCCTACCCACGTGGTCCACGTCGGAGTTTAATTCGATCGTTCGTAATTACACACACACATACGTATATATATACATATAATGTACACGCGGGTTGTATCCAGGTGTGAAACTGAGAGAAGGAAAAAAGAAAGAAAAGAGAGAAAGAAAGGGGAAATCGATGATCGGCGAGACGACCGGCGGAGGAATTTCTGCTCCCCGAACGATCCAAGTTTGTTCCTTCGAACGATCAGAGGAGGAGGGATTTATTCGATCGATGGAGAAAATACGATCGACTCGCTCGTAGCCGCGTCGTCGAGAGGGACGAGTTCACGACGCTGATATATACGTAACGATCGACTCGGTTGCGATTGGAAATTGCAACCAGGAAGCATAGGCCTCGCTCTTCCTTCCGTTCTCCTCGAGCCAGTTCATTTCGAATTTGGGAAAGACCGAGTGGAGGAGAGGCGGTTTGCGTGTTTAAAAAGGACGAACGATACGACGGTGTTCCTTCTTCTGCTCTCTACGCGAGACGGACAGGCTGACGATACAGAGACGATCGGACAAAAACGGAGGCCTCCTGGACTACGGAGCACAGCTGAGAAAGAGAAGTCTGTCAGTACGGGACGTTAATCACTGCCAATTCATTAAATCGTAAGATCAGCAGCGCTTGGAACACCGTCGCGTACAATCGAGCCGAACCGCGGGCGAATAACTGTCTCGAGGACGAGGAGGAAGCGGAGCGAGCGGAGGAGGAAGAATCGTCCAGCGACAACGGTGTGCAAGCTCGCGTGAATCCTTGTGAGCCGTCTGCCTCTACGCGTAAAACGGTCGAATTCCCCGGAAAAGGAGGAAACCTCTCAACGGTCGCGTAGAAACACCGCGATCGCGAAGCAAACGAAAACAGAGAAAAACAGAAAAGCACTTGAAAAAAGAAAAAAAAAAAAGAAAATAGAAGTAACGGGAAAAAAATAACAAAACACAAAAAGAGAGCAAAAACGGCGATGTTTCGAAAAGGTGTCGCGGGTAGATTCGTACGAAAGTCAAGGGAAACCCGGTTCGCGAGGACAATAATACGCTGTCTGTCGGTGCCAAAACGTTATTTCCTTTCTCCTTTCATTTCCACGTCTCTCTTCTCTCTCACGCACACACACACACACGCGCGCATACTTGTACACAGTTTCTCCCTTTCCTGTTCTGTCCCGATATGAATGGGGAGCTTGGAGGAAAGCTGTTCGTGGGTGGAAAACGTGCACGACGCTTTTGAGCTTCGATCCTTCGACAAGGGGCGGCAGGGGTGGGGAGGGGGTAATAATCGAAATTGTATTCGCGACTCGGTGGAACGCGTCGCAAAAGGGTGGCACGGAGTCGATGAAGGGAGTGGGGGCACACGGAGGACGAGGCGTAATTGAATACGTGATTTCCGCCAGTTTCGACGGGGGCAAAGTTTACCCGCTAATCCCGAATTTACAATGCGAATTATATCGCGAGGCTGTCTCTCTCTCTCTCTCTCTCCCCTCTATCGACACTCTCCACCCGCGCACACCTCTCCGTAACCTTTCATCCTGGCCTCGTTTTCCACCGGTTTCGATCTGCTCTATCGTATACTACTCGGGCGATAAGAAAAAGTCATGCACTTCTTCCGACCACGACGATTCGACCGTTTTACCGCAAAATTTTCCAGCGACGAAACTTCCAGGCGAGCGAGACGATCTTCGAGGAGGAAAGAGAAGTTACGCCGGAGTTGCTCTCTTTCCTCGGGAAAGAGACAACGAGCGAGATCGAGAAGGGCTTCTTCTTTCACGTAGCGGCGCGCGTCCTTATGGTTCTCAATAACGAGACACGAGATGAAAATCTACCAAAAAAAAAAAAAAAAAATACACGGAATCTGAGACTTTGTACTTTTGTACTACGGTGAATTGCTTCGACTAGGTGTACACCCATATTATTCCGACTCTCTTCGTTTGTCACACGCAAATCACGATCGGAACGAACGCGGAGAGCGCGCGAGCGCGGCAACGGCGGTTGATTAGGGGTGGCGACGCGTCCCGGCGCGGCGGGCAAGATTCTTGTCGGAGGCTCAACAGAAATAAATGATATATATATATTTTTTAATATTCTCGTCTTACTCACCGAAACAATATATTGTTATACATAAGGGATTATACAAAGTATAAAAAAAAAAAAAAAACGGGCAACATTCCGCACAAAGCTCTAGAACCGTTTCCACGCGTCAGACTCGCCCGTCGAGCACGCCACCCCCTGTCGTGAGCGCGCGCGCGCGCGCGTGAAATGAACGGAAAAGAGAGGGAAAGGAAATAGAGCAGCAGATATACGAGGCAGACGGCGAACTCGTATACACACCGATCCTCTGTGTCTCGCGGACGTTACTGAACGCTTCCGGTCGGAGCGCACCGTTGTGTTCTCGCTAATCATCGATTTCCGCACCGGACGAGCGGAATCGAAATCACGTGTGGGGGTTATATATACATATAGAGAGAGAGAGAGAGAGAGAGGAGGGATATATATAAATGAACGAGACTAGGGAGAGAAAAAGTGGCAGGAGAGAAGACAAGAGGAGAAACGAGGTAACGTGTATTAAGGAATGGGAAAAACGACGAGACGGGAGGTAACGTTGACCTGAGATACAAACACACTGTATCCAGGGGGGACTGAACTGAATGGATGGATCGTAGATCGCTCGTCGAACGGGAACGGTTGAACAAAATATAGTAGCGAAGAAACTGGAGAAAAAAAAATAAATAAACAGATGAGAAATAGAGTAATAACGTAAGGAAAAAAAAAACGATTAAAATTACGGAGAAAATGAGAGAAGAAGAGAAGAGAGAGAGAGAGAGAGAAAGAAAGAAACAAGACGAACGAAAGAAAAACGGGGAGGAGTTTACCGCTTAAGAAGACTAATCTTACCTGAGAGCGCGTGAACGGCGCGCGCAGAGCGGCCGAGCTGACGGGCGAAAACGAAGATTTAAAGGAAAACAAAAAAAAGATTAAAAAAACTAAATTTTAAATGTTCAGTGGCCAAATAAATTAACTGATAACGCACGTAGAACGTAAACGATACCGTACCTACCAAGTAAGCCTGACTGACCGTATGAGAGAGAGAGAGAGAGAGCGTCGAGACCGCGGTTCGCGCGCGTGTGTGTGTGCCCGCGTGTGTACGTGTGCAAGAGAGAACCGTATAAATTCGATGCATGTGGCACATTTGTGTATTTTTTTTCTTTCTCTCTGTATACCTACAATTTTTTGTTCTTCGTCTAATTTTTGCGTCGAGGTTGCGCCCACGTGAGTGACCACACTGCTCATTTCCGTTTCCCCGCAAGAATGTGTTCCAAATGGATTTCCAATCGGGGGTTCAACAATGGGGGAAAAATTTCGGGTGGGATTTTCAAGAAAAAAAGAAGACACACGTACACAAAGTGAAAAAGAGAGAGAGAGTGATAGAGTGAGAATGGGAGAGTAACAGAGATAGTAAGATACATACGAATCCACCGGGAAGAGAGAGAACATAAAAGAAGCAACTGAGAATGACCGTGTGTATTTGCGTGCGTGTTTGCGCGGGTGCGTGTGTGTGTGTGTGTGTGTGTGAGCGCGAGTGAGAGCAGAACACTAAGTTTGTATATTGTGCAATTTTTGTCAGTGTTTCATTATTTGTTACCATGTTCACGGATAATTATAAATAAAGTAAATATATATATGCAGCATTTACAAGGACTTAGGATAAAAAAGAAAAAAAAAAAAAAAACGAGGATTAAAAACGAGAAGCCAGATGTCTTTTTGATAGCCATATACTTGCGAGGTATCGCGCGGCGCCCCGGCAACCACGAGGACGCCCCGACCGCTCTTTTTTCTCCGAACGCTATTCTTTTCTTTTTTTCATTTCTTTGTCTCCGATAGGCGAAACAGAGAGGGGGAGGGAGAGAGGTAGTAACGGAGGATCGAGGAGAAACGGTGCTCTCGATCACGGCGACGTTTTCGAACACGGATTCGTCAGCGTTTCGCCTCTTGGATCACGTTCTCGCCCGCGGCGAACGAAACGAGCCCGTGATTCTCTCGATCCTCCCCAGCTCCTCGAGATCGGAATATCTCGAAACGACTCGTGCAATCTTCTCTCTTCGTGGCTCTATATTCGTGTGAACTTGCGCCACATTTCATCGCGTGTGAACTCACTCTGACCAGAGAGTATAATCAACCGGCGACGCGCACGATCGTGATACGTGGATCGATCGTGCGTGTATGCGTGCGTGGCGAAGTGAAACAACGGCTGAGACTGTGAGCAGAGAGAGAGAGGTGAATATAGGAAAGGGGACCGGAACGATCTATGGAAAAGTTTCGAGATCGAGCGTTTCGCGCGTTTCCATCCCGGCGACCAACGAAAACCCTGTAGATATAATATACATAATTACTACATTATACGTAACGAACGATCGAAACGCGCTGAGAGTGCCTCCGCGTTTCGGTTTTCGAAGAGAACACTCGAGCGGCTTTAAGCGAAGCACGGCGATCGCGAGACGGAGAGAATGTGGGGAAGAAGTCGGTGAAACTTAGGAGAGAGACAGGCGACGATGCACGTGTAATTAAAGAGAGAGAGAGGGAAAAGAGCAAGCAGGTGAAGAGAAAAAATGTGGAAAAAAAAAGGCGGACACTTTAAGAACTAATAAATGGTAGTTAGAAGTTTAGATAGATAGATGGATAGCTAGAACGTTAGATAGACACCTTAGATAGGCAGATAAATAGATGGACGGAGAGAGGAACGTGGAGATGGGAGGAAAACGAAAGAATTGTAAGATCGGGGTTCGGGTGGGGTGGGGGGATTTTCCGGGTTGTTTGGATTTAAAAAAAAGAGTTATTATATATAAAATGAAAAAAAAGTCTATAAATATAGATAGGTGGATATACATAGATAGAGATGTAAGTACCTAAGAGAAAACTCTAAAGAACCTTTTAGAAGATGCTGTATCGTTGTACGAGGTACGATAAGTGGACATAAGTGTTTTATGATACTCGCGTACAATAAGGTCGAGATGAACCGTCGGGTGAGGTATGAAGAGAGAGAGAGAGAGAGAGAGAGAGATCGCGAAAGGTGGGAGAGAAAACGCGAGCTAGCGTGTTACGATGAATGGCGGTGGGTGAGATTCAACGGGAACGAAGAGGGAGAAACAGGCAGACAGGCGATTTGTAATTGTATTAATTGTGGTCTAAGCTATTTTCAGTCATGTTGTATAGTGAACTTTGTAAATTAAAGAAACTGGACTTTAAGCGGAAAGCGAGGGAGACAGCGTGCGACGTTAGAGGTAGCGTGAATGGACAAGTGGTGTGCGGGATGAAAGTGATCGAACGAAAGGATAGAGGGAGGAAGAAGGGAGAAGCGAGGGACGGATGAAATGCAACCAAAGGATACAAAAAGCAAATGAAAAAGAAAATAAACACGGATAGGTGGATGGAAGGGGGAGGAATTGTAGCGGTGGGAAACGAGGGACAGTCTCTCCTTGTTCCGCGGTGTTAATTGAATAATGACGCTCGGGTGAATCGGTAGTTTCTAGATTTTTTCCTTTTAATAAACAGAGTTCTCTAATTTCGATTCTCGCGTGTAAAACGTTTCGATTTTTACCGCTCGTGTCGACGAAGGAGACGCACCGAATAAAAGAGAAAAATGGGAAAAAAAGTAGAGGAAGGAGGCGGAAATTCGACGCACTACGAAACGAACTGACTAAAGAACTGACGTTATTTTTAGGGAATTACGTCTTTAGAAGAGATATAAGTAAATAACGAGAAGTTGATTAGGGTAACTGTTAAGCGTATGACGGTTCCGCGTGGTGAGACTTTTCTGAGTGAAAGAGAGGGAGAGAAAGGGGGAAGCTCGAGAGGCAAGAATCGACCGTGAGAAAGGGGGAGAGAAAGTATAAAAGCAAGAAAGTTGTAAGAGTGCGAACAGGATGAAGAAAACGAGAGAGAGAGAGAAAGATACCTATATTTTTAAAAAAGTGACCTTTGGCATTTAAAGACTTGTAAAAATCGTGCAACGAGTTAAGTATGATAAAACAAAGAACAAAAGAGAAACAAATCACAGAGGGCGCAGATGTATTAAAGGGGCGTCCGTCCTTCTCCGTGTCTCTAACTTCATCTTACACAAACCTACACATAAATACCACACGCTATACCTACACCTGAATACGACAAATAGGCACACACCTGAGCGAGAAGAACAGAATTCCTGCGAAACAGCCCGAGTCCGTCGCGATATACATACGCGTGTATAGCGATGGCGGAAACGCGGGAGAAAATAGAAAAAAGAAAAGGGACAAGACGCGATACACCATACAATAACAGCGACACGAGTCTCTCGATACCGCCGATATATAGCCCACGCGGTGCTGCACACGGATCAAACAGAAGGGAAAACAGAAGAGGAAAAGTAGAAGAGGAAAAGAAGAAGCGGAAATGTAAGTTTGCACACGCGCCATGCCGGAGAACACAAGCACGCGCTCGAGGAAATATCGGTGAAAAAGGTAGGGAAAAAAGCATCGTCGTTCGTATAACGCAACTGCATTACATAGTACACAATATAACGCGCGTCTTGATCTCGACGAGAGAGAACAGGGAGATATAGAGGAGGGACGAGGAAAGGAACGAGGGATAACAGCGAATGGAAACTCGATAAAACGGGGGAAAGACTAGCGGAGAAATTCGGTTACAACGCATAGGGTATAGCGGAAAGAGGGTTGGCGAGTGGTAAGAGGAATAAGGGAGGAGTGAGGCAAACAATGCATTCCGTTAGAAACTCGCTTTTCACGGGGCACACGAGAACCGGCGCTGCGTCGGTCCGCCTCGAGGCCTAACTAAACGAAAAGAGAAAAAAAAATGGAACCGAACGATTTTCGGCCGTGACTCCGATCGTCGAGACGCTCGCCGCGAGGACGATACCGCCTCCCGCGGTTTTCATTTTTTGAACAGTGTCATTCGGTGAGTGAATTGAGAATTGGAGAACGCCGATGGTTTTCAGAATGGCGGGGACGCGTCTCGCGGCGAGTGCTCGACGTCGAAGCTTGAAAAATGTGAAGAAAACGACCCAACAGTCACCGCATAGTCACTAACGGTCATCCAACACAATTCATGGTAGGGTATAATAGTATTTTTAGGGATTTTATACAGGCATGCGACCGAGCTCTATGTTCTAGCCACGATTAACTGTCGATTATTGACGTTTCTTCTTGTACGTAAAACGAAACACGGTGTGTTTTAGGTATATCGATAATTACATTAATACGCAGCGAAGAGTAAGTTGCGGTGGGCAAAAGTAGCGGTTGGATATGCGAGGATGAACGATTGCTTAGGTATACATATACATATTTCGAGTGAAACATGTGAATGCGAGTGTGATTCAGCAGCGAGAGAATGGAGAAAGGGTGGAGACGGTGCGATTGAGAGTTATTTTTTTCTGAAATTCTGTACCTCGTTGTGTATACATCTCTATTTGTATAATTGTGAATATTACCATATTATGATAATGTGATTTATTACGTGTGATCCTGCGCGCGAAAAAGACGTGGAGAGAGAGAAACTTTAAGCGAGTATTTTGTATTACGACAAAAATGGAACGAACTAGGGAAACGAAAATAAGGAAAAATGGTTTAAAAGAAGCAAGTCAAAGCTGACGCGTGTATGACGAAAATGGAAAGAGCGCGAGAGATAGAGAAGTGAAGCGAATCGAAGAGAGGGAGAGAGAGAGAGAGAGAACGAGATGAAGCGAGTGAAAAGTCATGTAATCACAGCTTTTTTGCCGCTGGG